TCAGCCATTATAGCTTCATATATTTCTTTGACCCCATTCCCTTTCTTATCTAATTTGAAATTCCAGTTAACATATATGAGATCCCTGGGTTCATTTCATTACCTCTCTATGTTTTGCAACTAATACATTCTTTTGACCTGTTTTCCAGTTTACTAATTCTTTCTTTGGCTGTGTTGCATCTGATGTCAAGCTATTGAGTTCTTGACTCCGGTTTTCTATTTTTCAGTTCCAGAAATTTCATTGGTTATTTTTTATTTTATTTCTAATTTTCTGCTAAAGTTCTTTTCTATTATTTACGTTCTCAAACATACTTTTTACATTTAAAGACCTGACTTTGAGTACCCATAGGTCTGTTTCATTGCCCATGGTTTTTTTTTCCCCTTGGTTTTCAGACAGTGCTTTGCTTTTTTGTATGCCCGGTTATAATTTTACCGAGTGTCCTGTAGTTGGAGAACGTTAGAAAGATAATTTTAGGTTCAGGATGACATTTTACTTCAAAGAGTATTATTTACTTTTGCTTCGGGTAGTTTGTAGGAACACATCACCTTAATCCCTTCAAGGTGTGAAGGATTGAGTCTGTGAGGGCTGGTCTCTTTCTGGTTTACCACTACTCTTAGACTGTAGCCCTTTGGGGGCCACAGATGAAAGCCAAGGATGTTTACCAGGGCTCCTTTTCATCCTTGTGGCACCCTGAGCTCATTTCTGTCTGTCCGTTTCTGAGATGGTCAAAACCTCTGCTCAGCTCTTGAGCCCGTCTGCCTTTCAAGTCTGTGAAGGGGAAGGTGGCAGCAAATGTATGAATCACCTTCTTGAGCTTCTGTTCTTTCTGCAGTTTTGACTCTTCCAGATCCCTTTGCCTCAGTGGCCTGTAATGTCTTCAATTATTTTGTAAATTTTCTCTAACTTTTGTTGTTTTTAACAAGGGGTTTGATGTGAAACAAACTAATCCAACATTGCTGGAGGGAGAAATTCTGCTGAAGAAATTTAAATCATATCTCAGACATGACATCATTTTATCCATTCATACATTAGCTGGCATCTCGGAAAAATGCAGACATTTCCTTACATGCCGACACTGCCTTTTCAGGTTCAGATTTCCTAGAATTCCCAGAAATGTCTTTTAATGATTGTTTTGTTTGAGGTCAAATGCACAAGGGCTGTATGTGACATCTGGTTGTTGTATCTTTTAAGTCTCTCTTAATCTAGAGTGGTCTCCTCTCCTGCCATCTTTCTCTTTTCATGCCACTGACCTGTTGAACTTGCTCATCAAAGTCCTGTAGAATTTCCCATATCTCAGATTTAGCTGGTTGCTTCTATTTGATCCTCTATCTCTTGTTTTTCCCATGAAATGAAATTTAACTGCGTGGGCTTGATTAAATTCAATTTTGTTTGTTTAGATAGTACAGAATAATTCCTGCTGCATGATATCAGAGAGCACCCAAGGTCTGATTTTTACACTGTAAGGATGCTAACAGTGGTTGGTGGGTTCTGATGGTAAGAACATAATCCATCCATTATAAAATTCTCCATTGTTCTTTGATCTGTTTGGTTACTCTGAAGTACAGTTTATAGAGGCAAGTTGAGCTCTTCTTTTAATTTCAGTCATGTCTTTGACATCAGTTCTAAAAAAATCATCCCGAACAATAAATGTTTTTCTTCCTGCTTTCAATGCCCAAGCTGCTCCCTGTAGTGAAGCTGTGTGATTGGTAATTACATCGTGTAGGGAAACCTCAGCGGGGCCAGCAGGGCAGGTCCTGCCACCAGGACTACCTGAGAACCTTGAGCTTAAGGCATTCCTCTTTCCAGACTTGTAGTCTCCTCGCAGAGTAGGGCAGCAAAATGCTGGTGCTTATGGGTCTTAGAGCTAGCGTGTGTGCTATTTTGCTCTGCTTATTTAAGCACATTCCTTCCTAGGCACTTACTCGCCACAGAAAATAAAGGCAGTTTTTCTATCCTGGGCTCAGCATTCTGGAGTGCGTGATCGCTAGTATCGTAGCCACAGAAAGGGAATGTGTAACGCCCAACAAGTAGGCCCGCGGAATGATTTTGTTCCTGTGTGCTCTGCTTGCATTTCTGTAGCTGGCATTTCTGTTCCTGAGTCCTGCAGTCAGCTCCAGCTCTGCCGGAGCCCAGCAAGCCTCTAGACCCTGCCTCATCAGCTCTATCAGATCTTTCTCCTCTGTCCTGTTCACACTGTCCTGCCTGTAGTGCCTCTTCAGATTTTCTTTGTCTCCCATTCTGATGAAAATAATCACAGCCCCATTCAGGGGTGCCCAGATGCAGACGAGCAGAAGTCCAAACTTCCTGGCTTTGCATTTCTGTCTCTGTGTGGCCTGGCCTGAGGTTGGTGTCCTATCCCACCTTGTGTTCTGTCTCCTGACCGTCACTTGAGTTGCCCGTGTCTTCCCATGCCCCACGTGCCTGTCCTGGGATCCCATGACCCCTTCTGGTTGGAACCAGCTCGGGCTGTGTGGCTCCAGGAAGGCTCCCCTGGTCACCAAGGGCTCTCCCGCTTCTGGAGCCCCATGTCTGTGTCATAGCAGCCCTCGCACTCCTCTCCGTGTCATGATTTTATCTGCCTCACTTCTGCAGCTAGACTGGGTCACATCCAGGGCAGGGATTCTCCTGGGACTTCTCATTCCTTACCACCCTGGGCACAGAACACGGCCTCTCGTAGGCCCCCCTGCTCCATCCTATTCAGATTCCTGCCTTGGTCCCCACACTCCTAGCCCCCCCCGCCCCCGAAGCCATTTCTGGGTCAGACTCTTTGCTGGCCTTCATTTTTGGCAGAGCCATGATTAAAGACAGCTGGCAGGCCCTCCTCTGTCCTCATCACGGTCACCCATGTGCCCTCGCTGGGGACCTTCTCCCAGCAGGAGGGAGCTTCCCCGGAGTTGCTCTGGGGGCAACTCCAGCAAGTGATCGTGATTGTTATTCCAGATGGCAGCTGAGAGGCTTCCAGAAACAATCCGGGCACACGGTCAGTGCTCGCCGGAGCCGCGACACTGCTCCATAAATATTTATGTGGAAGTCCCCCTGGCAGAGGCGTCCCCTCATCCTCTCCCGACCGAACTTCACTTTGTTTTTTTCTTTAATATCTTTAGGCAGCTGGAGCAGGTACCTGTGAGGGCGCAATTACGCACCACTTTCTCTCCCGGCACGGAACCAAGGGTTTTTCTCTCCTGCTAACCGACATGACAGACATCCATTTAGTGGCATGATTTTTAGTATACAATTACTTCTTGGCCTTTAAATTTAATTATTCCGTATTCATAGCAATAAAATCAAATCCCAAATCCAGGTGTGCTTTCCGAGGAAAGCGTCCGGGGCAATTACCTCCTGATAATGGTGTTCTGTACTTAAGCCTTTTGTCTGCAGCTCTTAAAATCTCTTCCACACAAGTAGATAATGATGTTCATCTTGTCCGGGGTGAGGGGTGAAGTGACTAATCTCCTGGCCCACTCAAGAGATGAAGAAAAATCCAAGACCCAGGTGTCGCCTTTGTGTCTCCCCTCCCCCTCGCTCCGCGGTTCTTTCAAAGCAGCCTGGCCGGCCTCCTGTCGATGGAAATACCTCCTCTCGAGGACTGCTTCCCACTTTCTGAAGAGCACGAACGAAAAGGAGTTTCTATATCACCTTTCGTTGAGGTTCAGGGAGAGGGAACGGCGAGGAGACTGTGTCCCCTTTCCAGAGAACATGTGTCTCCTGCTGACTCGCCCTCCTGTCCGTCGCACAGTGGGGCTTACATGCGGTTCCACGAGTTCACAAGTGAGAAGCCCTCAGAGCAGAGCTTGGCGCACGGTGAGCCCCATGGGAGTCGCGACTCTTAGGGCAGAACCTGTCGTCTCTGGACAAGCAGCGTTTGAAGCGTGCCCTTGCTCATGCTAGCGGTGTGAACGGGCTTCCCTGTGTCCGCCCAGCCAAGCTGGCCCCAACCCTTGGAGGCCAGTTTACATCCTGTTTCCTTCCTCCAGGAAACCTTCCTGGTCCAACCAACCGCCAGTCGCCTCTCTCTCCTCATAGCTCTTGCATGATTCTCTCCGTGTAATTCACTCAGTGAGCTGAGCGTGGCCATGCACTCGGGCCTCGTTTGGGCACGAAACGATGCCCTCTCCTGTCCTATTTTCTAACTGTGGAATGAATGTTTGTCTTGTGTCTGGTGGGCTGGTTGGGCCTTGAGGGGAAAGTTCATAGCTAGACATCCCGCGGCCCCAGAAACAATCCCGAACATACAGCAGGAGTTCGGTAGACTAAGCTAGATGTTGCGGGGGCAGAAGTACACATTTTATTGAATCTGATATGATAAATTCTTGTTGAATCACATGGAGGTTATATCAGGTCTGGAGCATAGCCCTGAGTTTTTCATTCCTTGCTCTACTTATAAATCTTCTTCTATTCTGTTACATGGGGAAGAGGTCAAGCTTTTATTGAGCACCTCCTGCATGCAGGACAGCATGGAGAACACAGATGGGGCGCCGGAGTAAAAGCTCCGTAATGTAGTGAGATGATAAGTAAATACACAGGTCCTGTATGAAAGATGGGCACGATGAACTCCAAGGGCTTGGTGGTTAAAAGGAGGGCATGGTGGCATCTCAGTGGGATCTCCATGGGGCGTCGTGAACACTTCATCGTTGACTGAATATGTACTGAGTGGCCATCTTGTGTTCCAGGGCTGTTCTAGGTGCTGGAACCTCATAGGCAAGGCTGGAGGATAAGCTCAGCACGTGGTCTCTCCACGCATCCCCACCCCCTCCCCGAGAGAAACGCAGAGATCCACCCTTGTCTCCCTTCTCTCATGTTGATTAGCGAGACTTTCCAGGCTGTGATTTCCTTCCTGACACAAAGGACACCGTCCCGTCCTGACTACCCAGCTGACCCTCTCGGTAGCTCCCGAACACCCCCAGCCCGGGTCTGCCCCCGACCCTTTCATGGTCTCCTGATGGGACACTGGCCACAAAGGTGAGAGCTGCTGACATGGTTTACCCTTTGGTTTCTTCCAGGATTTTCTTCCCCGGAAGCCATCCCGTCCGAGGGGTGCAGGTCATGAAAGTTGGCAAACTACAGTTGCACCAAGGCATGTTCCCCCAGGCGATGAAGAACCTCAGACTGGTGAGTGTGCTGGGACCGGGTGTCCTTCTGCGGGGCATACCGGGTCGCCTGTCACCGGGCCGCGTCCCTGTGACTTGTAGTGACTCTGTGCAGTGCATGTACACACACATTTGCACGCACGCGCATGCCCATCACTGTTCAACGTAATGACCAGCTCTGAGAAAATCTGATTTGTGATGTTTGCGGATTTCTGTGATCTAAATGTGTGCACCATGGCTGGTCTCAAACTACCCATGGAAAATCGACCAACTCCTAAAATTCATGACAATATAACAGTCAGGTCTTAATAACGGGCACGAGCTGGCCTTCGGGACACCACTACACCTGTGCCCTACTCCAGGTGAGCAGGTCACCCTTCTCCATGCCGCCCCCACCTACCCCCGCAGACCACAGTCCCTAATCCCTGCCTCTCAGGCCAGCCTCCTGACCACCTGCCCAGAGCCCACCTTTGCAGCCCGTACCCCCTTCTAGCCTTCCCTCCCTCTCCCCGTGGCCAGCATACACTGAGCCGCGCCCTGCTGCCCAGGACACCTTGAACTTGATCACACTTAGGTCTTTACCAAGACATATCCTCTACCTTAAATGCTCTTCCACCCACCCCCGGGGCCTGGCAGGTTTTCTCCCTGTACTCCTGCCAGTGTGCCGACACTGCCCGCAGAGCACTGGCCACACACAACAGGCCCAGCTCAGAGGGGCTGCAGGCTTGGTTCCAAACCACTGCCATGAAGTTAGTGTCACAGTTAAGAGAGTCTAGTGAAGTTTTTGGCTTCCCAGCATCTATGGAAATTATGTTTATATAATATGTCTCGTCTATGAAGTGTGTCACAGAATTATGTTGAAAGAAAAATATATATGTAATTTAAAAATACTTTATTGCTTCTTTATGCTAACTGTTGTCTGAGCTTTCGGGGAGTCATAATATTTTTGTTGCTGGTGGCTGCTGACTGGTCGGGGTGGTGGGCACTGAAGGTTGGGGTGGCCGTGGCGATTTCGTAAAATCAGACCACAACGAAGTTTGGCTCATCGATGGACGCTTCCTTTCATGAGGGATTTCTCTGGAGCATGTGATGCTGTGTGATAGCATTGGACCCCTGGGAGAAATTCTCCCAAAGCTGGAGTCCGTTGTCTCAAACCCTGCTGCTGTCTTATCAACTTAGTTTATGGGATATTCCAAACCTTTGTTGTCGTTTCAACGATCTTCACAGCATCTTCAGCAGAAGTACATTCCATCTAAGAAACCACTTTCCTTGCACCTCCGTGAGAAGCAACTTCATCCGTTCAGGTTCCATCATGAGGTTGCATCCCATCCGTCCCATCCTCGGGCTCTGCTCCTGATTCTAGTTCTCCTGCTCTTTCCTCCCCGTCTGCCATGACTTCCTCCCCGTCTGCCATGACTTCCTCCCCTGAAGTCTTGAACCCCTCAGAGTTCCCCCTGAGGGTTGCGGTCAACTTCCTCCAAACCCCTGTGAATGTTGATATTTTAATGACTTCCCATGAATCATGGTTGCTCGTAATGGCATCTAAAGTAGATGAAATAGGTGAATCCTTTCCAGAAGGCTTTTGATTTACTTTGCCCAGATCCATCAGAGGAATCATGCTCTGTGGCAGCTATAGCCAAATGAAATGTAGTTCTTCAATATTAAGACTTGAAAGTGCAAATTACTTCATGATCCATGGGCTTAGATGGATGTTGTTAGGGGTCATGAAAACAACCCTAATCTCATTGATCGGCTCCATCAGAGCTCTTGGGTGCCCAGGTCCATTATCAACGGGCAGAAATCTTTTGAAAGGAATCTTTTTTTCCCCTAAGTAGTAGGTCAGAGCTTAAAGTCACCAGCTGCCTTAGTGCCTGAGAGTCAGCCTGTCCCTTGAAGGTTTCAAGCCAGGCATTTACTTCTGTTCTGTAGCTGTGAAAGTTCTAGATGACCTCTTCTTCCAGTATAAGGCTATTTTGTCTCTATTGAAAGCCTGATGCTCAGTGCAGCCGTCTTCATTTATTATCTTGGCTGGATCTTATGGATAACTAGCTCCGTAAGTTAGGTTAGGCTTTGGCTTGAGGGAATGCCGTGGCTGTTTGATCTTCCATCCAGACCGCTGAAATGTCCTCCATACCAGCGGTAAGGCTGTTTCACTTTCTTACCATTTGTGTGTTCACAGGAATAACACTTGTAACCTCCTTCAAGAACTTTCCCTTTGCGTTCACAGCTTGCCTCACTATTCGGTGCCTCCGCTGCCATCCCCTCAGCCTTAGTTTAGACACACCTTCCTCACTCGCCTTAATAATTTCTGGCTTTTGATCTAATCTTCCTTTCACCTGAACACACAGCGGCTGTTAGAAGGGTATTAATTGGCCTGATTTCAGTATCATGTCTCAGGGAACAGGGAGGCCCGAGGAGGGGTGGTGGTGAGTGGCCAGTCGATGGAGCAGTCAGAACACACACAATGTTTATTATGTACATATTTATTATATGTGTCTTATATGGGCTTGGTCCATAGTGCCCCAAAACAATTGCTGTGGTAACATCAAAGATCACAGATCGGGGCACCTGGGTGGCTCAGTAAGTTAAGCGTCTGCCTTAGGCTCAAATCAGGATCCCAGGGTCCTGGAATCGAGCCCCGCATCAGGCTCCCTGCTCAGTGGGGAGTCTGCTTATCCCTCTCCCAGTCCCCCACTTGTGTTCCCTCTCTCACTATATCTCTCTCTGTCAAATAAATAAATAAATAAAATCTTTTTTTAAAAAAACCATAGATCACCATAACAAATATAATAATGACCAAATAGTTGAACCATCACGAGAATCACCAAAATGTGACACAGAGACACAAAGTGCACCAATGCTGTTGGAAAAATGGTGCCTGTAGACCTGCTTGACATGGGGTTGCCATGAGCCTTCAGTTTTTTTTTTTTTTTTTTTTTTTAAAGCTCGGTATCTGGGAAGCACAGTAACGCAGTAAGACGAGGTAGCCTATAGTAGGGATACCTGAGGCCCAGGAGACCAGGAGGTCTTTGCAGTTATCTGGACCAGTTCAGTGCTGTACAAAGACCTGAAAGGAGGAGGTGTTCCTTGTGGGAGGAAGGCGGGGAGGAGGGAGAGCGGTACATACGATGGTAGCGGTAAGTGCCGAGAAACTAAATGGGAGAACTGGGTCTGTGTTGGAATACAAGAAAGATGTTTATTTTCACCCTCTTCATGAGCCTCCATGCCCCTGGGCTCTCTGCTGCCCCCTCCTTCCCACCCCCGCCGAGCTCCCTCCCACCCAAACCGTGGCTTCCAGATGGAGAGCTGATGTCCTCACCAGGTGCAGGTGTTGGTGAGTCTCAGGGAGACCTGCTGTGTGTGGTTTCACATGGAGCACCTGATACTTGAACAGGACCCTCTGGGCCATAGGGCCCTTTTCTGCAGAAGAGCTACAGTGGAGAGATCCCGGCCCACCCTCAGGTTGCTCGGAGAAAGCCCGGGGCTGGCTGGTCCCATGACAGGGGCAGCTACCCACGTGTAGAGGAGAAAAATCACAAATGCCTTAAAGATCCTTAAAAATGAAATTCCCTAGTGCTGGTTTTCTGCCCTTTTTTTTTTTTTTTTTTTAATGAGAGCTATGTTCCCTTTCCTGATCTTTTGCTGACATAAGCCCATGGTCACCAGGAAGAACACTAAGATTCCTGAAGGCACACGGCTCGTCCTGTTCTTACCTTGTCCGACGGCTCTTCCCAGACAGGGAGGAACACCTTGCCATCTCTCGCAGTCTCCGAGAAAACTTCCCTTTACTGGCCCGGCTAATAGCTGGCCTCTGGTCGAATCCATGAGGCAGAAGATACTTCCTGGGAGGGTCAGCCGTGAGAAAGTTTTGACAAAAGTAACATGGGGGAAATGTCTCAAGTACATGGTGTATTTGACCTAGGGTCACCTGCAAGTTGTTTTATTAGTGCTCAAATTAATCCTTTCTATTTCTGTGGGACTTGAAAACATTAATACTGCTCATATGTAGGGGTGCCCGGGGGCTCAGTCCATTAAGGGTCCCAACTCTTGGTTTCGGCTCAGGTCGTGATCTCAGGGTCGTGAGATCGCGGCCTGCGTCAGCTCAGAGAGGAGTCTGCTCCAGATTCTCTCTCCCTCTCCTTCTGCCCTTCTCCCCTCTTTCTCTAAAATAAATAAATCTTTTAAAAAATTACTGCTCCTTACTTCTCTGGTTCCCACGACAGATGAGGTCCCTGGGGCAGATGATTTTGTTCCCATTTGAAAGATGAAGGAGCTGGGGCATGGAGACATTCTAGAGTCTGTCCAAAGTCATCCTTTGGGTGAGGCAGAGCCAGGACTAGTTTGTTCCATTTAATTCATTCAATTTAATGTGTCGATTAAATTCTTTCTTTGTCCTTCCAGTGCAGTGGGGGAGGCAGACATGTGAACAGGACATTAAATCGTGGCTGGAATCCCAGGCTCTGTGCTCTCCTTGCACACCGGCCCGGTTTGGCAGATGGGACTCGCTGGTAAGACTCAGCGTGCAGAAATCCCTGCAGGTCTGCCAGGTCCCTGATGTCAGCTGAGCACAGAGTTAGGTCGCCTCATTCCTTGCGTGAGGCGTTATCACCGCCTCTGTGTGCACACAACTCTTGGAAGAAGCCTCAGCTGCAAAGGCAGGAAGGCAGACAGAAACCTAGAAGAGGATTTATGGGATCGCATGGGCTGGGTGGACACTGAAGCCATCCCCGCCTGCCTCACGGCTCTCTTTCTGCCCCTCTGCCTCCCCCGGGCCCATTCCACACTGCCTTCTTCACGTTCTTCTAGCGATGTTACCTCGCCTCCAGAAGCTTCCTTTGTTAACTCTTTTAGCACCTCTTCCTCCTGGTACTGAAGGGAGGGCCCAGCACGGACCCTGATCGCTGCCAATGGAAGATTCTTGGAGCAGCATCTGCATGGCTGCCCCGAGGCCTGGGGTTAAAGCATGGCCTGACCCCACGCTTCCTATTTGGCTCCGGAAGTCGCTGAGGCTCTTGCCACGTT